GGTTTAGGGCTTAGGGGGTTTAGTGTTTAGGGGCTTAGTAACCAGTTGTTTTATAGACTTGTAAGCACCATAACCCCAATTAGGATCCCTTTGAGTGTACTTAAAATTCTACTTAATGTCTACTTACTACTAGGGTTTAGGGTTTTCCAGAGAGCCCAATAGCCCTTGATTAAGGAAGATACCTTAAATTATAAGGGGCTTCATATTATGATTTAAGCCGAATATGGGGTATTGGGCTCTCTGGGTTAGGGTTCTAGGCCATAAACTCGAAAACCCTAATCCTTCAACCCTAAACCTTAAATCCTCAGCCTTCAACCCTAATCCTTCAACATTATAGAACCCTGAAGCCTAAGCCTAAAACCCTAATCCTTCAACCCTAAACCTTAAGCCCTAATCCTTCAATCCTAAGCCTAAAACCCTAATCCTGCAACCCTATCCCTTAAACCCTAATCCTTCCGTTCTCAGCCTAAAGCCCTAAGCCCTAAACTTAGGGTCCAGGCCTTGGGACGTTCCATGAGACGTAGGTTATGTGCATGCGCGTTTGCAGGTGTGTATATCACCCCTGTTGCTCTATGTTATTGGTGTATCATTCACGTGCTGTTTGGTTTCCATTATTTGTCATCTGCTTGCATCATTAAGTAAATTTCCTGTCAACGATGAGTCTTACCACCGGCAGTTGTTTGTAGGATTCCTCTTATGAGTGCTCCGAGGCACTCTCCGCACCCGTGCATGCTACGACTAGTCCCTTTAATAACCGCCGAAGCTTTCTCGTCGCAGTTGCTCTGGAAAGACGAACGGTTTCAGGGGCACGAGACCGTCTTGCAGCTCGGCACCAGCGGCCTCGAACCTCAACCCTTGAACGCCCCGTTGAGGGTTAAGGGTTTAGGGTTACCACCCTCCCTGCCCAACAAACCCTAAACCCTAAACCGTTTAGGGTTTAGGGCTTAGGGTTTAAAATGGCTACGGGCTCAAGAGAGTTCTTGTCTTTTACAAGAACTTTATGTTTTTAGCACCGGGATATCCACCAGCCAGGACTATGCACAGAGGGTCGCCAGGCGGAGCAACAAGGAGCGAGCCTACACCTTACCAGAAAAAGAACGAAGCCAAGACCTCGCTGAAAAATAAATCCACAAATGAAGAGTTGCCTACAGGTGCAACAGCATCAGCATCAGCACAGGAAGAGCCTGAAGAGGAAAGTGGATCGGAGTCCAGTTACAACACATAGAAGCAGGACCGGGCAGATCAGATGATCGATGAAGAAATCGAAGAGAGAATGGCAAGGGAAAAGGCTAATGAGGCGAAGGATATTCAAGCATGCCGCAGCGACCTGGTGAAGATGGCACAAGGGCTCCTGCAACAGAACCCAACGTGGATGAGGCAGGCTTTGGACTATCTCAATTTCCCAGACTACCAGTCTTTCATTCATTCCCTCACAGAGGAAGAAAGGGCTGGCATCATCAGGCATTTGGAAAACCGGGGAATTGAGAGGTCCAGGCGTTGGTACTACTTTAGCCACTACGAAGGACCAGGTCAGCGGATGGTCGTTTACAAAGGAAGCCCAAGAAATGAACAGGAGCTGGAAGACCAAGGGATCATTGGATCCTGACCTCCTTCCTGCTCACTTGGTTCGTCAGGGAGGAGAACAAGATACGGAAGGGGAGGGTACTACGATGGATCGTCCTACTGAAACAAGTGGGGTGGTACATCATGAAGATGGTGTACGTGAAGTGCTGGATCGTAGTCGTACACCCTTAAGGGTCCCTGGAATCACCCTTAAAAGCCTAAGGGTCCCTATTAGGGGCCCATACTTCCTAGACCTTAAACCCTCAACCCTACTTCCAACCTTAGGTATTGCATGCGTTTTCGACGACGCCCTACGGCGTCGGAGATCTCTCGGCCATACGGGGCTTTGGTCGAGGTAGGCCAGGCCTTCGGGATGTTTTGCTCTTCCCCTTAGTAGGCTTACCTTAAGGACCAAATGACCTCAAAAGTAGGGGCCCAATACCCCTATACTATGAATCCCTATATGGTATATGAACCCTAAACCCTTTTAGGCTTCTTTTCGTCCTCAAGGTACCTTAACCCAACAGCACCTAGTTTGCTGTAGATTCCCTATACATCCCGTATTAGGGTTTATAATAAGAACCCACAAAAAAGCGGGATTTGGTAGGTTCAGGTAAGAGGATCTTATTTACGAATACTTTTCAGTTGCTTTAAAGAGACAAGCTTGGTGTATGTCATGTTGTCCTACGATGCTACATCAATTCAAGGAGCCCTAAACCAACCCTAAGACCCTACCTAGACCCCCCAACTAGCCTCTAATATACCGTGAATACCCACTACTATAAAGGACCAGAGGGGCTCCATTAAAGGCACTTGGGGGTCCTGGTATAAAAAAAAAGTTAGTTCCCAAATACCTAAGCTTTAAACTTCTTGGGTTATTATACCCAAAACCTAAACCTGGCTTGTTGGGTATGTAAATAAACCCTCAGCCTTTCGAGGAACCCCCGTAAAGAAGCCTTAAATCTACGCATGAGGAGCTGTTACAGGAGCCCTCACTTCGGCTACGCCTACACCCTATAAACCCTGAGCCCTAAAGCCTAAACCCTGAAACCCTAAATACTAACCCTAACCCTAAAAGCCTAAACCCTGAACCCTATACACTACAACCCTAAACCATAAACCACAAAAGCCTAAACCCTAATGCCTTTTCGTAAAGTCTTTAAACCCTCTGTTTTAAAAGTTAAACCCTAAACCCTAAGCCCCAAGCCCCAACCCAAACCCCAAACCCTAACCCTAAACCAGGACCCTAAACCCTAAACCCTGAACCCTAAACCCTGAATCCTACACCCTACAAGCCTAAACCCTAAACCCAACACCCTAAAACCCAAAGCCCTAAAAGCCTAACTCCCTATACCCTAAAACCCTAAAACCCTAAGCCCTAAACCCTATACCCGAAAACCTCAAGCCCTAAAGCCTAAGCCCTAAGATCCTAAAAGCCTATAACCTAAGCCCTACAAGCCTAATCCCTAAAACCCTAAAGCCCTAAGCCCTAAACTCTATACCCTACAACCCTTAAACCCCAAGCTCTCTTACTAAGGCAAGCCTTCCTTGAGCATTTCGACCTCCTGGTCCCCGGCTCGGGGAAGGCGCCGGGAGACCCTGGGTTGGTGTTTTTTCAATATTTTTTTAGAGTTTACTATAAGGCATTAGGGTTGGTGGTTTTTTAAATACTTTTTGGAGTTTACTAGGGTTAGGGTTTAGGTTTTTGATATTTTTAGAGTTTGCGCTAAGGAATTAGGGTTTTAGGGTTTGGGGGGTTTTAGGGCATTAGGTTTTAGGGTTCTAGGGTTTTTTGGTTTAGGGTTTGGAGTTTGGGGTTTAGGGTCTAGGGTTTGGGGTTTAGGGTTTTGGGGCTTTAGGGTTTGGGGTTTCGGGTTTGGGTTTTAGGGTTTGGGGTTTAGGGTTTGGGGTTTAGGGTTTCGGGTTTGGGGCTTTGGGGTTTTAGGGTTTAGGGTTTCGGGTGTAGGGTTTAGGGTTTAGGGTTTGGGGTTTAGATT